GGGAATGACACCTGGGATAGCGGGAATGACACCTGGGATAGCGGGAACACCGGGGGTACCGGCCCGGCCCGCCCCTTCCGAGCAATGGCCGGGAAAGGGCTCCTCCAGCGGTGCTGAGGGGAATGACAGCCTGGGATAGCGGGAATGACAGCCTGGGATAGTGGGTTAGGGTATAATAATAATTGTAATAATTTTATAATTATCCTTTATATATCAATAAAATACAATTATAATTTTAAATCATAAAGTAAAATAATGATTAACATTTTAAACATCTCATTTTTTTTAAGGGATGTATCACTCAGCAGTGTGATGCCGTGGAAAACGTTAGGATACAGATTTCTGTGCTCTTGGAGTCTGGGAAAGGATTCAGATTTAGCACAATTCTTTAGATATAAAAACTCAGATGATTTTATAAAAAAAATTATATTAAATGAGACACAAACGGGACAAGAAAGGGACACAAATGGGACACAAAGGGGACACGAAAGGGACAAAAACGAGATACAAACAGGTCACAAAGAGTACACAAAGGGACATAAATGGGACACAAAGGAGACATGAAAGGGGATGCAAAGGGGATATGAAGGGGACCCGAAAGGGACACAAAGGGGACACAAAAGGAACACGAAAGGGACACGAAAGGGACACAAACAACACACAAAGGGGACATGAAAGGGACACAAATGGGACACAAACAGGACACAAAAGCTCCAGCACTGGAATTGCAGCTCCCACAGGGTTGGTTGGAGCCCTGGCAAAGCCCAGACTTCGGCGGGAGGTCACTGAGGTCACCGGCACTGCCCGGACAGGGGAGAGGGGCAGGCACCGATCCCGGCTCTGGGGGACCAGGAGCTGAGGGAACAGCCTCAGCCCGTGCCAGGGGAGGCTCAGGATGAGGGTGCTTCATCCATGGAAAGGGTGCTCAGGCACTGGCAGGGGCTGCCCAGGGAGCTTTGGATCCCCACCCTTGGAGGTGTCCAGGGATGTGGCACCCCCTGCTCTGGGTTGGGGTCGGGCACAGCTCAGACTCGGTGACCTGGGAAGGCTCCTCCAACCTCAGGGATTCTGGGATTCCCCGATCCTGCCTCACGGGAGCTTCTCCATTGCTCCTTTTCAGCCGGAAGCAAATCCCAAGTCCAGCTGCGCTTCCCTTCCTCGCCCAAACACGGCTCCTCCTTCCCAGTCCTTCCTGCTCCTTCCAACCAGCTCGGCCCAGGAGATGTTCCAGGACAACGGGAGTCCCAGAGAGGCCGCGAAAGGGTTGGGAATGTTCCCCTAGAGAAGAGAAGGCTCCAGGGACACCTTGGAACCCCTTCCAGGGCCTAAAGGGGCTCCAGGAGAGCTGGAGAGGGACTGGGGACAAGGGATGGAGGGACAGGACACAGGGAATGGCTTCCCAGTGCCAGAGGGCAGGGATGGATGGGATATTGGGAAGGAATTCTTGGCTGGGAGGGTGGGGAAGGGCTGGGATGGATTTCCCAGAGGCTGCCCCATCCCTGGAAGTGTCCAAGGCCGGGATGGATAAACTTGGAGCAGCTTGGGATAGTGGGAGGTGTCCCTGCCCATGGAAAGGTGGGACTGGATGAGCTTTAAGGTCCCTTCCCACCCAAACCAGTCTGAAATTCCATGATCCTGCTGTCCCAGGCACTCCCAGGACTCACTGAAGATCCAGGGACACAAAGCCCTCCAAGGAGAGATCCAGGGACCTAAGCCCAAACCCCTCAGGGCTTTTGAAGGGAAACTGGGGACTAAAACCCCAAACTGGGGACAACAAACCCCAAACTGGGGACAACAAACCCCAAACTGGGGACTAAAAACCCAAACTGGGGACTCCAATCCCAAGATGGGGACTCCAATCCCAAGATGGGGCTCCAATCCTAAAGTAGGGGCTCCAATCCCAAGCTGGGGGCTCCAATCCCAACCCGGGCCGCTATCCCGGCATTCCTGGCGCCCTGCCCTGGGTCAGCACCACGGACAGGGAACAGCAAATCCCTCCTGGAGCAGGGAGGAATCAGCCAGCCAAGGAGATACATGGGATCCAGGAGGATCCAGAGCAGAAGATCTTCCCCAGGGAACAGGCAGTGGGTTGGAATTGTGTATTCCAGGAAAAGGGAAGGGAAGGCAAGGCAAGGCAAGTTTGGACAAGTTTTAAGGATTTTTGAGGAGTTTGGATGAGTTGTGAGGAGTTTTGAGGAGTTTGGACGAGGAGTTTTGAGGAGTTTGGACGAGGAGTTTTGAGGAGTTTGGACGAGTTTGGATGAGCTTGGAAAAGTCTTGAAGATTTTGGATAAGTTTTGAGGAGTTTCGAGTAGTTCGGACAAGGAGTTTTGAGGAGTTTTGAGGAGTCTGGACAAGAAGAAAAAGCAGGAACAGGTTCAAAGCTCTGCTCTGGCCCCAACACTCCGAGCAGAACCCTGAACAAATGAGGAATTTCAGGACACTCAATCCCTGCAAAGAATAATTCCAGTCAGAAAAGGGGCTCCAAAAAAACCTTCAGCTCTTTTGACCACAAATCTCTTGCTTTTGGAGAAGTTTGGAGGAGAAGGTTTGGAGGAGAAGGGTTGGGGGAGAAGGGTTGGGGGAGAAGGGTTGGGGGAGAAGGAGGAAAAGCAGGAGCAGGTTCAAAGCTCTGCTCTGGCCCCAACACTCCGAGTAGGAGAGAAGATGATCTCCAGGAGCTCTGCAGGAGCCCTGAGCTCCTCAGAGACCTGACACAGGACTCCCTCTGGCAGAGGATTTCAATGGGAATCATCCCAATTTCTGGATTTCAGAGAATCCCAGATTGGTTTGGGTGGGAAGGGACCTCAAATCCCATCCCACCTTTCCATAGGCAGGGACATCTCCCACTATCCCAGGCTGCTCCAACCTGGCCTTGGACACTTCCAGGGATGGGGCATCCTCTGGGAATTCCATCCCAGCCCCTCCCTACCCTCACAGCCAGGAATTCTTTCCCAATATCCCATCTATCCCTGCCCTCTGGCAGTGGGAAGCCATTCCCTCTGTCCTGTCCCTCCATCCCTTGTCCCCAGTCCCTCTCCAGCTCTCCTGGAGCCCCTTTAGGCCCTGGAAGGGGCTCCAAGGTCTCCCTGGAGCCTTCTCTTCTCCAGGGGAACATTCCCAGCTCTCCCAGCCTGGCTCCAGAGCAGAGCTGGATGTGAGAACTCCACCCAGCTCCTCGATTCCCACATTTGTCCCCCCTGGGAGGCTCCAGCTGAGCTTGGCTCAGGGCAGAGGCTGGGGAGCAGATCCCAAGCCCTGTCGGGACCGGGAGCCACCGAGAAGCCGCCGGAGGAGCCCAAGGGCCACCTCGTGTCTGCTCCCAGCCTGGCGGCTCTTCCCAAACCTCCTCTCTCCCCTGGAAAATCATGGAATCTCAACGGCCACCCCCGAGGCGGGTCCAACCCGGGTTATTCCTCCGGTCCAACAGTTCAGGGGGGTAAAAATGGTGCTAGAGATGCAAGAAAATGCCGGTTTGGGGTCACAGCAGGAAAAGAGCCCCCAAAACCACCCCCGTGGGGCTCAGCTGGGTGGGTTGGGGCTCCGGCCGGGGGTCTCTGCCTGGGAAAGGGGGGACACGACACAGCCGGGGGCCCTCAGGAGGGCGGGGAAGAGGCAAGGGGAGCGGCCCCGACCCCACAGCTCCCAGGGCCCGCATTTACCTCCTTCCCTCTGGGCGCGGCGCGGGTTCCTCGCCCCGCGGGGCCGGTTACACAACACCGACCGGGGGAGGAGGGCCCGGGACGAGCGGGTTACGCAAGGGCCGCTCCCGCCGGGGCGCTGCGCGTTGCCCGCGGAGCTTTAACGGGGTTCGGGGCCGGGGGGGTCCCCGGAGGTCGCGGAGCTCCTGGAGAGTCCCGACCCCGCGTCCGCTTTCCCCTCACTGCGCCAAACCACGCCCCCCGCTCTGGTTTTGCTCAGGGGGCGTGGCTTGCCTTCCCGCCCGCGGCTCCCACCCAATGGCAGCGCTCGCATTCAAAGTGGAACTGCCAGGAGGTGGAGCTAGGCCGGCGGTGTCATCCAATCAGCGCGCCAGGGGGGCGGGGGTGCGCGCGGAGCGTCTGGCCGTTGCCAGGCGACGGAGGAAGTCCCGCCCCCGGCGCGCGCCGCCTCACGGGTCTGGGGGGGGCGGGGAACGTCGGTCGCACCCTCCGCCGGTAAGTATCGGGTCTGGGGGTAATTAACGGGTCTGGGGGGTAATTAACGGGTTCGAGAGCGTAATTAACGGGTCCGAGGGCGTAATTAAGTAGCGCGCCTGGAGGTGGAGGCTGTTCCTGAGGGGATTCTGTGAGGGTGGGGCTGTGGGGGGCCGTTCCCGTCCTTGGGGGTGGAGGGAGGGGCAGTCCTTGTCCGTGTGAGGGGGTGATTAATTGGGCTGAGGGGGTAATAATTGGGCAGAGGGGGTAATTGATGAGGCTGAGGGGTAATTAATTAGACTGAGGGGGTGATTAATTGGGCCGAGAGGGTAATTAATTAGTCTGAGGGGGTTAACAGTTGGGCAGAGGGGGTAATTAATGAGGCTAAGGTGTAATTAATTAGGCTGAGAGGGTCAATAATTGGGTTGAGGCGGTAATTAATTAGGCTGAGGGGGTTAATAATTGGGCTGAGGTGGTAATTAATTAGGATGAGGGGTAACTAATTGTGCTGAGGGGTATTTAATTGGCCTGAGGGGTGATTAAATAGGCTGAGGGGGCGATTAGTTGGGCTGAGGGGGCGATTAATTGGGCTGAGGGGGTAATTAATTGGGCTGAGGGGGTAATTAGTTGGGCTGAGGGGGTAATTAATTAGGCCGAGGGGGTGATTAATTAGGCTGAGGGGTGATTAATTGGGCTGAGGGGGTAATTACTTGGGCCTGAGGCTTATTGGGGAATATTAAAGAGCACAGGATTTATCAGGGAATATTAAAGCACAGGATTTATCAAGGAATATTAAAGCCCAGGGTTTATTCGGGAATATTTAAACCCAGGATTTATCAGGGAATATTAAAGCCCGGGGTTTGCTCGGGAATATTGAAGCCCAGGATTCCCTAGGCTCAGCCGGGACTGAGGGGGTGGGATGGATCTCAGGGGTGTGGGAGCAGCTCCAGGACGGGCTCAGCTGCTCTGGGAGCGGTTTTACAGCAGGAGAACAGCTCCGAGCCCGGCGGGACTCTGGTTTCAGGCGCGGTTTGTGTCAAGCCCGGCTGAGGGGCTGGAGCGGAGCGATGCAGAGGAGGACGCGCCTGCAGCGGGAGCTGACCCTGCTCTCCGCGGAGCCGCCGCCGGGAATCTCCTGCTGGCACAGCGGGCACGGCACCGGCGAGCTGCGGGCACGTGGGTACCGGGGGGTCCCTGGTTGTACCTGGGGGGTCCCTGAGCCGGGGCTGGGTCAGAATTTGACCTGGGTCTGTGCTTACTGCAGGGTTTGTACTTTATGAGCTCCATGAAAGTGTGAAATTTAGGGAAGATACTTTTATGTTTATTTATTTCTATTTATTTTAATTTATGTGATTTTAATTTATGTGATATTTATTTTAATATTTAATTGTTATTTATTTTAATATTTGATTTATTTCAATATTTGATTTAAATATGTGATTTTTATTTATTTTAATTTAATATTTCATTTTTATTTTATTTAAATTTTTATTTTTATTTGATTTTATTGATTTTATTTTATTTATCTGTTTGTTATATTATTTTTATTACTTTTTTATTTTTATTTGTTTTCTTTTATTTTATTTTTATTTCTTCGGGTTTTATTTATTTCATTTTTATTTATTTATTTTTATTATTGGGATTTTTTTTAAAATTTACCTTGGCTGCCCTGCCCTCAGTTTTCATCGCTGAGGGGTGGAACTGCTCTCAGCCCAAATGACACTTTTTATTCCTGGCTTCCTCCCTTGGAGGGTGGGGAGGCCCTGGAATGGAATTCCCAGAGGATGCCCCATCCCTGGAAATGTCCAAATCCAGGTTGGAGCAAGCTGGGATAATGGGAGGTGTCCCTGCCCAGGGCAGAGGTGGAATGGGATGAGCTTTAAGGTCTCTCCAACCCAAACCATTCCAGGATTCTGGAGCCAGGCTGGGAGAGCTGGGAATGTTCCCCTGGAGAAGAGAAGGCTCCAGGGACACCTTGGAGCCCCTTTCAGGGCCTAAAGGGCTCCAGGAGAGCTGGAGAGGGACTGGGGACAAGGGATGCAGGGACAGGACACAGGGAATGGCTTCCCACTGCCAAAGGGCAGGGATAGATGGGATATTGGGAAGGAATTCCTGGCTGCGAGGGTAGGGAGGGGCTGGGATGGAATTCCCAGAGGATGCCCCATCCCTGGAAGTGTCCAAGGCCAGGTTGGAGCAGCCTGGGATGGTGGGAGGTGTCCCTGCCCAAGGCAGGGGTGGGACTGGGTGGGCTTTGAGGTCCCTCCAAGCCAAACCATTCCAGGATTCTGGGATCTAGCACTTCTGTAACGCTGGGAGCTCCCTGGAGGCTGCTGGACAAATCCAAAGGGTTTGGAATGTAACCTTTCTGTTTTCATCTTGTTCCCGAAGAAATCCTAGGAGGTGCAGACACACCCTATGAGAAGGGAATATTCAACCTGGAAATCATCGTTCCTGAGAGGTAAATGGGCAGCAACATCTAGCTTGGATTAACTGGGATGAAATCCTTCCCTGGGAGGGTGGGGAGGGGCTGGGATGGAATTCCCAGAGAAGCTGTGGCTGCCCCATCCCTGGAAGTGCCCAAGGCAGGGCTGGAGCAGCTTGGGATGGTGGGAGGTGTCCCTGGGATGGGATGGGATTGAAGGTCCCTCCAATGCAACCCAGTCTGGAATTGCCTGATTGAGTGCTGCTCTCAAATATGAATGAGCTGCTGAACTTTCTGCTTCCCTTTATCCTGCCAACAGGGAATGGGATTGAGCCCCTTTTTTCAAGGAGTGTCATTGTTTCTCCAGTGACTGACACACTCATTTCGCCTTGAACATCCCAAATGTGTTGATTAACCCCCAAAAAGTGCCACAATCAAACTTCTGCCGTCCCAGTGCTTTGTGGGAAGAGCTTGTTCATCAGGACAAAGCTTCCCTTGGGGAAGGCTGTCCAGGGAAGTGCTGGAAGCAGCAAAGGCTCAAAGATCTGTGGGGAAGGGTGTTCAATGAACCAGGAGGGAATGAAGGTGTTGAAACAACAACAATTCCTTGTTCCTTAACTCTCCTCCCCCAGGTACCCCTTTGAGCCCCCCAAAATCCGCTTCCTGACCCCCATCTACCACCCCAACATCGACTCTGCGGGCAGGATTTGCCTGGATGTGCTCAAGTTACCCCCCAAGGTGAGGCAGGGCCAGGCACTGAGCTCCTTCCCTGCTCCCTGGGAGCCGATTGAATGTCCTGTGCTCCTGATTTATTTACACCCGCGGGGAGGGCGGCTGGAAACGGCCTCTCCTTGGTGTCCTGCCAGGGCTGGAGGACAGCCTTTGTTCCCGAGGAGTTTCCAAGGTTTCAGGGCGGGGAGCCAAAGGGAATTAGGGCTGGACACGAGATGTGTGCAGGATCCAGCCCGTGGCATCTCCTGAGCTGGGAGGGACCCACAGGGATCATCATGAGCTGGACTGCAGGGGACAATCCCAACAATCCCCCTGATCCTTGAGCTCTGGCAACTTCGGGGTCATTCCCACTGCCCTGCTGGGCTTCCTTGGAGCCAGGAGTTGGGATTGAGGTGGTGTTCCCGTGGGTGCTGAGGTGCTCAGGCCAGGAGTTGGGATTGGGTGTTTCCTATGGGGGCTGTGGGTGCTGAGGTGCTGAAGCCGGGAGTTGGGATTGGGGGAGGTGTTTCTGTGGGGGCTGAGGGCTCAGGATTGGGGTGGTGTT